GATTTTTGAATAATTCATGGAACATTTTGTTGACGTTTAGGCTATGGAGGGTTGCAGCTGTTGCCAATGGAAAAACTCGAGACGAGACATTTTATTGGGTTCCTATTTGTTGTCCACACAACTCGCTTGACTATGCAAAAACTGCTTTAAGTTTCGATGAATGCAACTCAATTTTGAGGCAAGCGGCAAGAAGCAAGAGATCCCACGTTAATATGCACAACAGTTGCTGCACTCTGCAGGTGGGCGTGGCATACAAAAAAAAAACGTAGCGTGCAAAGGGCAATTAAAGGGAAACTGCGTTGCCAGCATGAATGCGGCTGGTGGGGATAGAACAGGGCGTATACGTAATGTAGATTTCTGTGCATTCTGTTCAGCTCGAAGGGGCAATAATTCACGCGGCATTAGAGCTGTAGAGATCCAGAAAAACGGGTTTCATAAAAAGCAATCAGTGCAATAAATCAAATGCAACGCGCAAAGCGCAAATCAAACCAGATTTAATGAAGCTGAGAAGTTTTTTGTGGGTGAAAAACGGCATGAGTTATCTTTATTATAATCAATTTATCAAACAAAAAGTATCATTACGCTTGAATTACTCTAGTAATTTGCTTTATAAGTACATTTCTTGTGAAGCTGATTTGAAAGATGAAAGTTATATGAGTTCATTTAACAGCATGCTAAAGCTTTTAAGCTAGCTTTGAAAGCACATTAAAACCTCAATGTTGTAACATTACTAAACAAAAGCTCTTAACAGCTTTGAAACTTAATAGTCATATGTGATAGTTCTAAAGAGCTTTAAAAGCACATAGAATACTACAAAATTCAGTTGTAGTATATGAAAGCTGTTTGCAGCTTTGAAAGCACATTAATGCTTTATACAAAGATCACTGTGATGTGAAAACCCAAATTAAATTGAACTAAACCTTATTTCACGACTAATTAAGTTGGATAAAATTGGTTTTTTGTAACATTCACATTAAGTATAAACTGCCAAGCAGCATAAAGCATGACTCTTAAGCAAACATTTAACGCACGCACATATCAAAGTGAGTTAAATTTTTATGATAAGCCCATGATAATCTTCCACACAATGGCACACCCTGCGAGTCAATTACAAATTCTCCAAGTGTAGCTGTGTGCGACCCTATCACTCGTCAAAGCTTGTCATTTATGACAGGACGAAGCACATTCTGCCTAAGCCCCGACATAAAAGCCTGTCATATGAATACAAAATTATAATCGCTGCATTGTTCATCAGCTGCAAGCGTTAATTAACTTGGTCAGCCCCGAATATCGCCCACACAAGGCTGACCATTTCGGCCTTAATTAGGTGCGAGTGGACAAGATAATGACGGTACTAGAGTGCACAAATAGGAATATAAAGCTTAACGAGCCGAGTGCAGCCCAGTTGATGGACTTGTGTGCCAACTAATGGACTCTGCCGGTAAGTGTAGCTGTGTTCGTAGGGCCTTGGCCCTAATTTTAATTAACTCTTTGGTCTTTGAGGTCAAATGTCACGACAAGTAATTAAAAGTTTTGGACAAAAAACAGCTGACAAAGTGCCTCAATAGCAAGTGGCAAGTGGCAAGTGGCCAGTGGCAAGTGTCAAGTTGCAATTGCAGAGTAAAGCAGAGCGCGGAGCAGAAAAATTCTCACATTTCGAGGCACTGCTTCAATTTGTGGCAGCTGTCAGGCGGCAAATTGAGCAACAATAATGAGATTTTCCTTTTTGGCCATTTTCAGTCGAATTTTACAATTTCATGTAACCAATTTGTGAATGTGGCTATAATTTCAATCACGCGACAGCAGCAGCAGCAGACGACGCCTTCTTCCTGGGCGCTAGCCGTGTGGCATGCTGCGCAGCGAACACGCAGCGGGGCAGCAACAATGGGGCAGACAGATGACATCTCGAGGCCACAGGCGGCGGCGACGACGACGCAGCTGCTTTGCCCCGCCCTTCTTTAGACGACCACACCAAGATGCTGACAAGTCAAATGGGCGCATAATTGGGAGGCGGGGTTGAGAGGAGGTCGGAGAAGCAAAAAATATTGTCGCCAAACTAATGCCGCAATTTATCTGCGCGCTGCGGCACATGCGACAAATGGACGCAAATGCCGCTAAGCAATAATTAAAAAAATATCAAGCCAAATGACACGCGACATCTATGAGAAATATGTGTGGTGGGATGGGTGTGGGCAGGGGTCGGGATGGTGAAGGGGAATATGCAAATACTTGTATATTAGCCACAAGTGATGTTCATATGCGAGAGGCAAGCGGAATGCAAGTTGTGGCGTGTGCCGCTTCCCTTCTTTTCTATCGTGTGTGCGTGCGTGTGTGGTGGGTGTGTGTGTGTGTGTTGTGTGTGTGTGCGGAGCGGAAGCGCTGCTGCATGCAAAGGTGCCATAACCCCATGAAGAATAACATCCGTGTGACCGTGCGTGGAATCGCCAGTAGTCGACGCTGGCGCCAAAACAACAGCGAGGGCAGCACCAAACAAAACATGATTAAAAATGCCACTAAAAACAAATGCAACACAATGTTATTCAAAATATTGAGATTTGATAGGAAGTTCAGAAGAACTAAAAGTATTGATAGCTCGGAAGGTTGAGAACTGGTTGCAAATAATAAATTGCAACATTCAAATTGATGTGGACACGCACTTGTGACAAAGAAAAGAGTAGCAAAAGAACAAACAGCCAGATTCTAGTTCACTCAATTTACACAAACTAATTATACTATATTAGAACAGATACAATGAATTTTAACAGATACAAAAAATTACACCATAATCAATCAGTAAATTACAAATATTAAGCTCAAAGAACGGTTCGAAAAAGAAGACGAAAAAGAAGTTAATAGAACCAGTTTTCCTAGGGATCAGTTCACTAAAAGCAACACTTTTTCTCGAATGAACTAGTTCACATTCAATCCAAAAACAAAATAAATCTGAATCAATCAAACAAACTCTCTCTCTCTTTTATCTTATTCATTCAAAGGTAGCCATTAATAAACTAAATAAACTACCAACCAAAACCCATTTATTCTCTTTACCCCACACTTGCCTATTTTGCTTAACTCTGTTTTTGCTTCTATCTGATTCTCTTAGTCTCTGGCATTTACCGCCCATCTAATTGCTTCTCTTTCTATCTCCGTTTGTCTCTTTCTTTCCCTCTCTCTTTTAGCATTTGCTTATTTTGCAACTCTTTGAGCAGCCCTCGCTCCACTAATTTATGCGCGAACTAATTTTGCCGGAGCCGCATATAAAAATAGCCCACATTAATGGCAGTGGCTGCATGCTAAGCAGGTCCACTCGAGTGGGGCTCAAAGTTTAGAACTCAGCCAAAGCCCAAAGCCCAAAGCGAGCCTAATCCAAGCGTTGGGCCAAATGCAGAAGCGAGTCAAGTGTTCCCGGCTGGAGCCCAAAGGATAAAGGATTACAAAGAGCTCCCACTCAAATCTGCTTAAAAATATACACAGGTATGTGTGTGTATATACAGACAACAGCTGTTGCAGGGGGCAGAGGGCAGAGGGCAACCTATTAACCCGTTACTTTTGTCAGGCTCCGCTGTGTCAACATCTTTTTATAGGGTCGCAGGTCGTTTATCAATTTTTGGCAAAGCGGAAAACATTTTTTTATAGACCTGTATGTGTGTGTGTGTGTTTTGCTCATTACTTACGCATGTTTACGTTGTGTGTGTGCGTATGTGAGTGTGTGTGTGCTCACAGGCACGCGACTCAGCACCAATACAAATAAACTACAATTTTTGGAGGCCTATGCGGTTGGGTATGCCCCGCAAGCAGCTCAGTTCGCTGCGCGTTGGTTCGTTTATTGCTGGTTACATCGACACATTTCGGAGGCGCCACCTCCAGATGCTGCTGCTGCTGCTGCTGCTCGAACTTCTTTTAACTTTACACCGACAGAAGATGTTGGCTTTGACTTTTATGCTTCACACACAAGCAATCACACACACACAATATTTGCCACTAATTGCACTGCAGATTTAACTGCTGCCCCGTTATCCTGCAGCTTTGCAACACACGCGAGATGAATGGCGCTTTCGCTGAGTCGCTTTTACACTGCGTAAGTCGCCTGTACAGCAAAGCGCGCGCTCTTCGCTCCGCTATGTTCCGTTTCGCCGCGTCGCTGCGTCCGTCAACGTGGAGAGTTTTTGCGCAACTGAATTTTCGTTGAGAGCTTTTTGTCGCTCGTACTAGACGAAAGCTCTTGTGAATATGTTTGCACTGAGCGCCTGAGACAATTGAGTGTGGCGCCGAATGCCTTGTTGAGTGGTTTTGGTCGGCTTTGGGCGGCTCCTGTAAACGGGATAATAATTGGCGGCACAACAGGATGAGCCAAAGCTCCTACAGTTGACTAGCTTGATAAATAGCTGTGCTTTGTGTTTTGTTAATGCAGGTGAATTATTGAATGTGACAGTTGAATAAATATTCCAATTTCATGTTGCCTTCTCCACTTGTTTCCATTCTATGTTTATTGAGTGTTGAATGCATTTATGTGCACTAACACAGGGATTCCTAACCTGAGCTTAAATGTACGTGCGATTTCAAGCATCCACTCGAGCTGTGTGCGCCAACACTTTCCCACTCAGCCCAAGGGCTCTGCTCTGCTTACGCTCCAGTTAATTCACGCCGAGTATAAACCGACGCTAGGCGACCTTTTTTTAACATATTTGCGGAAGTTCGTGGTTAATTAGAAGTTGTTTAAACTAAGCGCAACTTGATATAGCTGCAATTGGCCTCTCTTGCTTTCCGATGCTGAGTGCAGCTTAATTAGCTCACAAAGAGCAGCTGCTCGATCTCTTTGTCGCGCTGTGCTCTTCTGATAACGGCAATCAGTGCTGCCGATCGCTGGTCTCCCGGTTGGCGGCCGCTCGGCTCGCGCTGCCCTGTTCAGTCACTCGGGAGTTGTGCAGCCGTTCGTTGGTCTATTTGCCAGTTTGGTTCAGTGCCTTTAAGTGCTAACTTTTAAATCATATACACACTTTATTAAAATAATCTCATATAATATTATAAATAAACCGGCTGGTACGCAAGCTTCGACTAAGGCACAAGAAAAGGCAACAAACTGCAAGAATAAAGCTTTTGGAGCTGCAGATCGGCAAAGTACAAGAACCAAAAGAAATACCGGTAAGTCATGCTTTAATCGGCTGTGCGCTTTGTTAGGCTGCTTCTCGTGCGCCATTTAATCTACAGCGACCGTTATCTCAATGTGTAGGCGGCCGAGACGGGCGGCGGGCACGGTCTCTGGGCGAGTTCAAGCTCTCTGCAGGGTTGAACGTCGCAGTTAGTTTTTGCGCCTTTCGCACTTTTTACTTTCGTTGTGCACTGCCTGCATTGCTTTCCATTCCCATGCATCTGTCTTCTTCTCGCTTGGCCATCTCTTTATTACACTGTACCACAAATTATGTTCCATGTGAGCTGTGCGTGTATGTGTGTGCAGTCGTTGCTTTTGCATACAGTTTTCGATACACTTTGATCCCGCCAATAAATTTTTGATAATTTTATTATTTTTGTTATTTAATTTTTCGTTTTTCATTCATTTTTTTTTCGTGTATTTATTTATTTCTTTTATTTATTTGTTTTTGCGATGCAATAAGCGCTATAAATATCAAATTATATGCCATGCATATGTAAATATTTATAACAAATATTCGTCGAAATGTGTTCAAATTATTCAGGCTCAAAATACACATCGATTTTTATTGAGCGTGATGGGAACAAATTTCGAAGATTCAGAATTGCTGGGAATTGGATGAAGACATAGTATATAAGTATTAAAGAAGGAAAGATCACCTATTATTCACACTATTCAAAGATAAGCTTCGCTATGAGTAGGCTATACCTAATATACCCTTGCCTTGTGTATTATACTTAAGTAGTTCAATTTGTTACGCATTCAACAAAGTACTCATTTATTCACGATCTGATCGGTGTCCTATATAATATAGTATTATTGCTTAGGGGTTTAGGATCAGATTAATATATCGTAACATACACACATATCAACCGCATGCAAGGGCATTTGGTAATCGGCGATTTCAATATATATTTTTTCCCTCTCATTCCACTTATCACCAAGCTGAGAAATCGAAAACTATTCAGAGTATTCCCTGTTTTAGAACAAAGTTCAATTTTTATATGCACACATATACTATAAATATTACCTAATTTGTTTTGATTTTTGTTGTTAGTCACGGTGCCGGAAAGCAACAATTTCTATAGCTATTGATAGCTCCCATTAGTTTTGCCAGACAGCCGCCAAAGGCAACAAAAAAAGCAACAAATTCGAATTTAAGTGTATAAAAAGTGCGATGCGATGATGCCAGCTGATAATACAAATACTCGAATAGGTGGCAATGAGACGCGGCGATGTCAGACGGTGTCAGTCATACTTATACTTATACTTATACCTATACGTACATATACTTATGCCTATAGTAAGTACTTTTACTTATAGAGGTAGTACAGGTCGTTTTTGGGGTTGTCAGCGCCTAATCACGCCGCGAATGCTGTCAGAGCTCGCATTTGTACCTTTACGATTAGCGACAAAGTTGGTGATAATCAAAATATAGGCATAAGACCAAAAAAAAAAAAAAATGAGTGAATATAACAGGAAAGTACAGTTATCTTTGTGATGCCAAACACGAAATACCCTTTCGTGCATACATGAGATATATATATCTTGTTCTCAGTTTGCAATCGGTTGTTAAATTGTTGGGCTTGGTCAAGATATTTTGAAAACCACATAAGTTATCAATAGAAAATCTCAGTTTCTATCGATCTAATCCAAATCGGACGACTCTGACATATTCCTGAAGAATAGTGATGGATCTATACAACGTTTTATCAAAAATGAGAGACTAGAGACTTACAGACATATGGACATGGCCATATATAGTTGGCTGATCGAGAATATATATGTATGTTTTATGGACATGCACACATTCCTTTACATTTCGTGGCAGACCCCCTGCGAGCGCATTATGAATTTTATGAATATATATGTATATATAAAATAGCCATAAAATATGCCATTAATCAAGCGCAGTTAATTATCATAGCAGAGAAGCATGCAGAGCAGCAGCATGGCACAGAAGACAGAGATGCAGGCCAAAGATCACCACACGCAGCACGATCTGATCGGCGATGATGAAGTCAGCGAACTGCAGCGTCCGCCCAGCTTCTATCAGAAGGTGCGTGAGCAGGCGGAACGCTTTGCCAGCACCCGACTGGGCCAGTTTGTCATCGAGAGGGCCGATCGTGCCTTGAAGCTGATCGAGGATACGACCAAGTGGAGTCTGCCGCAGGGTAAGAAGCGTCACAGTTGGCTATTGATAGCAGCCTTCATCCAGAGCCTGACTCTCCTACACAGACAAGAACTCGAGCGCCGTCGTGCTGGAGCGTCCCCTGCCCTGGGCATCTTTTCTGCTGCTGATCGTACTGCTGCGCCTGGCGCGCATTTGGGTCTCGCTGGGCGCTCTGATGATAGGCAACGGGCCAGTCTCCCCGACGGACATGATATACTTTATACAGACGCGCCGACGAAAGCTGCGCGCCATACGTGTGCACGGCCTGAGGGTAATGCGTCATCGCCAGCAGGAATCCTCCAGCTGGACGGACTGCTCCTATACGCAGAAGTTGAGCCAGTGGCTCTCCCGTGCCATCTGTCGACCGGGTGTGCAGCGTGCCAATAGCGGGCGAGTGCTGAACTTGCGTGAAGTGGACACGCCACAACAGGTGGGTGCAGTGCAACCAACTGCAGCAAGCAGCTAATCGAACTTCCATGTAATAGGGAAACCAGCTAAATCACAGCGTGGCCAAGCGTCCGCGCGACGAGGACTCGAATCCCGATCACAATCTAACCATTGATGAGATGCTGGCCAAGTACGCCAACGAGAACTCCGAGGATGACTCTGACTTTGTGCCCAATCCCGAGGATGAGACGTCGGCCACCAGCAGCAGCAGCAGCAGCGAAAGCGACAGTGCATCCCACAGCAGCGAGCAGATCAGCAGCAACGAGGAGCAGGCCAATGCAGAGCAGGTGAGCTAGCCATAACAATTGAAAGAGCTGACCAACTTATCCATAATCCGTATAGCACAAGGAGAACATAAAGCCCAACAAGACAAGCCAGAATCATGTGGAGAAGCCGAAGGATCATCAGGCAAAGGCGGCCACAGTCAATGGCAGCACTGACAAGGAGCAGATGGATGTTGGTAATGGACATTGAATCCTCTCTCTAACTGTTGTTTATTAGACACACACACACACAAACACACACACGCACACACACACGCAGACACAAACACACACAGACCCCCTCTGCATATATAGACACACCTAAGTCTAAGCCCTAGTTTAATTGAAAGTATCGATTAACGATTTAAGCGATAAGATTTTGAAGTTTTTGGTGGATGAAACGATAAACGATAAACTGAAATACAGAATAATAATTGTGCCCAGAAACCAGTCCTTTATTTGCTTTGTCCAACCGAAAGAGAAAATTAATACCAAATTTCCTTAAGAGTTGCTTTTTAGTTATTTTGTGAGCTTTTGGCCTAAACCCTGCCCTGACATACCCTATCTTTTCTTTTTCTCTTCTGGCTCTAACTTTAATCCAACAGCTGCAATAGCCGCGAAGCAGGAACAGTGGAAATCCTCACCGGGTCATTTGAGCGCTGCCATGATGAACACACATCTGTACAACAATACGGCGGCCGCAGGTAATTCCTAGAATATTGCATCCCAATTAATCCCAACTGGATTGTGCTCAATCTAGGATTTCAATTAACATTTTAACTTTAGTATTTTGCCTTTGTTTCTGTTACTCTGTGCATGTGTTCAAACACAATAGCCAACATTGAACCCGCTAGCACTCCCACTCCAAGCAACTCCCAAACCGACAATAAACATGATCCCGAACATGAAGATCCTGCACCCGATTCTGTTAACGCCTCCGACTCCGATACGGACAGCAGCAGCACGAGCACTGTCTGCCACCAGCAGCAGCCACAGCCAGAACACACTGATACCTCAACCCTGATAGCTGATACATCCAATCCTAACCCCGAACAACCCAACGTTGAGATCCTAACGCCTGCTAGCCCAGATCATCCTACTGTCGAGACCCTCACGCCTGCTACCTCCTCTGAAGATATTTTCTATAGTCCCATTGGTTTGTCCACCTACTTCTATTCACTTTACCCAGACTTCTATTCATGAGTGTAACGAGTGTATTCGCTATTCCACAGGCTCGCCCAACAATTACAATAGCTGCTTCGCCAACCAGCCACTGCTGCGAAATGCCATTATAAGTGCGGCTCCTAGTAAGTAGTCCATAATGCATTCCCGTGGCGCCCAATAAGCAACTCCTATTTCGCACAGCTCATTCCACGCCCAACTCTGAACTAGAAGAAATTCATTCGGCTGGCTCTGAGCTGGAGGAGGCCACCAGGCAGTGCATCTCCCTAGCCCACTCCGTCGAGCAGCAGGACACGCCCCCAATAGCCAAGCCCTTCAAGCAGCAGCAGCAGCAGCAACAACAACAACAACAGCGGCAATTTAATCATCCGCATCAGCGTTTCCGCGGACGCAACCGACGCTAACCCTATACCCTAATCCTTCCTATAAACATTCATTACATTCCCATATTGTTAGCTATACTTCAAGTAAATCTCTGAACTTACCACGTCTTTTAATCTCTAATCAGGAATTGGCTCAAACTTGAAGCGTATATCCCCGTGTGGTGAGAGTATAATGGTGCTCTCATATTGCAGCGGCGTCTGGCCCAGCCAGCTGACCTTGTAGCGGCGCAGCAGACGCGCCAGCAGCGTCTCCATCTCCAGCTCGGCGATGCGCTTGCCTATGCACGTGCGCGGTCCAAAGCCAAAGGGTAGGTATACGAAGGGATTACGGCTGCGCGCCTCCGGACACGACTGTGTCTCGCCATCGGTGTCCGGTTTTAGCCAACGCTCCGGAATAAACTGTGCGCTCTGGGCAAAGTACTCATCGCTATTGGACAGCTCCAGGACGCCCATTAGCACGCCCGTGCCGCGTGGCACGCGATAGCCGGAGAGCACCAGATCCTTGGTGGTTATGCGAAAATTGCCCGGCGTTATTGAGGTAATCCTGAGACCCTCCTTAATGCAGGCGCGCAAATAAGGCATATTCTTGGTATTCTCAGCGGTAAGGGCGTCATCCGATTTGGGCAAAGTGCGCTGCAGCTCGCGACGCAGATGCGTTTGCTTGACGGGATTGCGGGCGAGATGGTACAGAATGGTCACAAAGGCTGAGGAGGTCTGCAAAAAGGATATCCATGAAATATATCAAACGGATTTCCCACTGGATTCCAAGTAGTCCCTACCGTATCCAAGCCAGCCATCAGCATATCCATGGCCATAACCACAGCCACCTGTTTGTTGAGAGCCAACAGCTGCTCCAGGACGCACTTGTTGCCCGTGTGCTGCTCCTCCAGCTTGAAGCGCTCGATGGCCGTCTCTATATAGTTGGTCGTTATCTCTGTGATGTGATCGTAGGTCTCTAGGAATTTCTTGAAGCCAGGCGTCTTGTAATACGGCCAAATGGACGGCTGCACATCGTACTTGAAGCTATAGTTGAAAAAGTCCGACATATGTTGAGCTAGGCGTGCGGCATGCGGATCCGGCCGATCGGTCAGCAACCCCATGCGTGTATTGAGCGCCACATAGCTAATGGACTCGAACGCCCACATCTTGAGCTGCTCGTGAAAGTCCGCATTGAGTGTGTGCGTTGAAGGGTTACGTAGGGTTTCCAGCCTAGTCGAAAAAAGGAATATTGTAGGTAGAGTCCCAGGTAAGTTGGGCTAAGTTTACATACTTGTCTATAAACTCTTTGGATATCTGATCGATTTGCGGCAGATTCTGTCTGACATTCTGCACCTTCATCAGCACCGGATTCACCTTGTTGCGAATATCTGACCAGGATTTGCCTTGTCTGTGTGATAACGAATAAATATAGTGAGGGAGGAGTAAAGTTTATTTAGCAGTTACTCAGAAACCAATCCACCAATGCCGCCAAACACATCCGGCCGATGCACCTTGCGATAATAGGTGAAACTCTCTAGGCCCACGCGTATGGGCCAAATGCCCTCGTTTCTATAGGTCAACTCAAAGTCCTTCGGGTTGTAGGTGAAGATGACATCCTTTTTGCCCAACAGACCCGGAAAGCGATATATATCGCCATACCACTCACGCATGCGACGATTCATTTGTATCAGATTCGTGTTGTATAGCTTGCCTGTGGTAGACAAAAGTCGTTAGTCTTTAGCTTCATCCAATTTGAACCAATGGAGCTTACCGCCTGGCAGGAAGTAGGATAAAACACGCCATGTGCCCGGTCCAGGCACTTCCGTATAAGGCTTTGCCTGCAGCCATTCCTCATCGCTGCGCGTTGGCGTTGTGTCCAACAGTTCCAAGTGGGCCTGTATTGAAGTAAATTGCCCAGCGGGTCGGATTGTTTGTAAACAAAGCTCGCTCACGCTCTCTCTTATACTCACGCTCTCTTGCGCTCTCACGCTCTCTTGCGCTCAGCTGAGCACACTCACCTGCTGCTCCAGTGCCGTGCCCACAGATAACAGCCGCCCAGCGCACAGCTGATATCTTTGGACGAGCTGTTTTTGGTGCTTCATAGACTTCCACATTTTAATTGCGCTTTACCAAGAAGTTTTTACTATAATATATATATTTTTTATGGTATTATTAAATGCGTCATGCCAAAAAATCGCCCACACACAGCAAACCGTACGCAAGCAAAGGCGAGCTATAACTAAATTGATTTGTTTAGCTTTTAGCTAAACTAGCTTGTTATTGTACACGAGCTTTTCGCAGCAAAGCTTTGCAAATGGCTTGTGTGTTGGCTAAATGCAGAAAAGTCGCAAGCTTCCTAGTTCGAAAACGTTAGCCGTTAGCCGTGAGTGTGCCATACATAAAAGCTGCATAAGTGTCCCCAGCCGCGTATGCCAGTCGATTACGGAGATCAGTACGAGTTCAAAAAGGTATTTCTTTCCAAAATCGGACCATTTTTAGCCGAATTATCGCAAAATAACGAAAAATCTTCAAAATTATAACGGCACTTTTTCGTGTTTTTCAAATGGCTGTATCTCGGCCAAATAAGCCCCGATCTTGGAAAGATTGGTCGCATTCAACTCGTGGTCACAGCCATTTTTAGCCAACATCGTCATTTTTGCAAAAAACATAATAGTTTTTCTCAAATTGGGCCATTTCTCAGAATTCAGAGTTGTTGGTCGGGATCCGTACGAGAAAAAAGAGGTATATCATTTCGAAATCGGACATATGGTACCTGAGATATTTCAATTTTAATTTTAATTTCAAAAATAAGTCAAAACGTATTATGCACGTCAGCACGAAAGTATGCAGTTCTACTAAAATTCTGCTAAAAAAAACGCTACAAACGGCTATAATGGCTTTTTCTCGGCCAAAAAAAGCCCGATATCGGGCAGATTAAGCACGAACGTTTTTTTTAGAAATGGCGATATCTCGGCTAAAAGCCCGATTTCGGAGCGATATACATATATATATAATAATATTATACCCATGTTATTAGACAACTGAACAACGAGGATCCGGATTTGAATCGCAGGCTAGTGAGTAGTATTGTCCCAGTGGTATTTACAAAATGAGCTAGTTTGATTCTTTATAACAATTGGTGATGATTTATATAATAGAATATACATAACTTGAAAGTGTCCCTAGCCGATTCTCAAACGATAGGATGCGTTCTGATTGCAACTTTATTGATTGGCATTCAAGAATATGCGGGATATATGCATAAAAAAAAAAATTTGTCATAAAATTTTAAATTAAATAAACGATATGTCTTGGCCTTATCAAACCTCAAATAAATGCTGCATAAGTAACTTTAAAGACTTGTTTTTAAATACATTTATTATTCATTGCATGCGTAAAATTGTTTTTAAATTTTAAAATGTTGATTTCTTTTTGGTTTTAGTTTCATACAATTTGAATGATCATTTATTTCATTTTGCTTCTGATATGTTTTGTATCGTATTTTTATGTCATATACATTGAAAATTTGAATAAGAGTCAAGAGAATTGAGAGTTTAAGAAATATACATAGTTTTTGTGGTTGTTGTTTTTTTTTTAAGGTACATTATAGATTAGCAAGTTGTATGCTTATGCAATGGTATGTGTTCGAATTTTAATACACACACACACACATATATATTTTAGAGTTAAGTAGACAATACATCAATATATCAATATATCAATGTCAGTGGAGGCATTAGAGTTGAGTTAAACACTTGATATTTATGTATGTACTATGTATGTAATTGGCGTAGTTAAAGGGATAAAGGTAACTACTCGACGTTTTTCAACTTTATATAAATGGTATATATGTATATATATATTGGTAATATATACGATTAAATTCAGCACACAGAAACAAACTTGGTATTTTTCTTTGTCGATCTAGTATTCGGTTTCTTTGTATAAAAATATAACAAATTATAAACGTTCGTTGTCTCTGCACAAATTTATCTCATGCTACTTATATATGGTTGATTGGTATTTCCTATTTTTTGATATATTTTCCTTTCAAAACGAAAATCATTGAGAAAACATTCTGCGGAGGACCTTCAGTCTTGTGTTTTGTTTTTTTTTTTTTCTTTTGTTTTTGACTAGATATTGCTTTCGTGGTTCATTTGTCATCGTTTTGCATTAAATTCAACTGGAAATTGTTTTGCATTTAGTTCAGTATGCGATACTTGAGGTGACAGAATCACCTGGATTGTGGATTATTTAACAATTCTATGTCTATAGAGCATTTAAACGTATTAAGCGCTTATTGAGTTCGGTGCTGAAGATCCCTAAAACCTAGTACTTAACACGAACCAAGGCAATACGTAGAACTAACCAAGCTAAAAGTTATTTCAAACGTTGGGTCATTATATATGATTATTAGGTATTACACACATTTATGAATAGCTATTCATTTGTTGTTGTTTTCGGGTTTCGCTTAAGTTAAATTGCTCACATTGAGTTGATATGCATTAAGTATTTGTTTTTTTTTTTGTTGGTATTTCTTCACAATTAGTTTCGAAAGTACATGAAATTTGTAATTAATATAGCTAAATCTTAGTTAAACTTCTCGCGATATATATGCACAGTAATTTTACCTAGCATTTGTTTATATTTATGGTCTAAAATTTAAAAATAATTTTTGCTAAAAAATGCTTTAAAAAACTTACATCTTATTAGGTTGGTGCACTTTATTAATATATATATATATATATATTTGATATTTAGTTTATTTTAGGCAGTGCATTTAACTAGTAATTTGTCTAAGGACTTGGTATTCGTTTTAAAGCTACAAACTAGTTGAATGTTTTTTAAATTAGACTCAAGTATAATTTCTGCTAAATGATATTGATAATAAATAACAAATTGCATAATAACTTAAGCCTACTTTTAATGCATATAACATTTATTGGTATATCATATAATAAACATATATTGTATATGTGTATATAGTTTCTTACATAAGTAGTATATTTAAGCTTTCGCTGATATGTTTTGAGTTCATGGTTGGGCGTTCCTTCACTTTTCCTTTTGATATGTTACGTTTTCTTGATAAGTTTTTCTTTTGTCTTGGTATTTTTTTAATATACTTGGGTTGAGTAGCTCAGATATGTATGCGACTTTGGTATATACTAGTTTATATTTGTGTATGTATATGTATTTGTATTTTATGCACGCTTTTAATTCAGCCGACGGTTTTTGTCCATGTCTAAATACATTTAATTGCCCCGAAAATTACAATTGCAATTAATTTCCATTTGTTTATCGCTTATTTGCTATAAAATCACATTTAGTTGCTTAATTAAATTGTATGCACTCTCTCGCTCACTCACACACACATTCACGCTCTTCTCTCTCTCTCTCTCTCTCGCACACAGAAAGTGCAACCTTCGTACGTCATGTAGATATTGCTTTTAATTTATATATTCTTTTGCGGATACTCGATATTTTTCCGTGCATTTTCATGGGCTGCTACACTGCAAAAAAACACGCGCTGTTTATCCTTTACTTTTTCTTTTTTTTTTCTGTTTTCATTTGGTATTTATTTTCACATTTTCTTGTTTGTTTTCTCTTCACGCTTTTTTTTTTGCCTTTCTGCTCGCTGCAGTGGAAATCTGCGTTTTGTAGGTTTGGGCGTATAAAGGATATTCGTGGGCGCCAAAGTTCGCATAATTGAACTGTCAGCCGGCTGGCAGACAGCCAGAGAGAAATATGGTGCCCTGCTGTGCACTGTAATTCCAGCTTGCCGCGTCCCTCCGGCCTCCGGCCTCCAGCCTGCATCCTGCCAGCCACCCAGCCTCGCAGCCTGCACGCAGTTTTTCGCATCGATTGTTTTGTTGCGCTGTAATTAAATGCGCCAAAGTGCAGCCCAGCATAAGGTTGGGAAAGGGTTGTTGTGTGGTGTCGTAGTTGAGGGGGTGGTTAGCCTTTCAGTCCATAATTCTCCATTGCAACTACTACTCCTCGGGCCAGCCGAGATCCTCGCCAACCAGCTCGTAGAAGCGTTGATTGTACTCGGCGAAGAATTTGCGCAAACGCGAGACGACAACTGGATCCACATGCGGATGCTTGCGTCCCTTGGTCTCGCGCAGGCAGCGATCGCCGTTGTCATAGCGCAGGCAGTAGAAGCCCTTCGTCTCATTGAAATAAAAGTGCTCGCTGCGCACGCGATGCTCAATGCCTGGAGCAGGAGGAAAGGGTAAGGGCAAGTTAGCCATAGTTCTATGAAGCAACTATGCTTTGTGCTTACCCAGAAACGCCTCGATGCGCTTGAGCTGGGAGAGTGGGTCCTCGATCAGCCGATCGCCGTTGACCACCAGCAGCTGCTCGCGCGGAAACACCTCCAGCCAACGATGCAAGTGCACATGGTACATGGATATGCTCAATGGGCGATATGCCTCGTTAACGGTGCCATTGGGAAATATGGCCAGCTCCTCAAAGGATCTGGGGAGAAAGCGAATTATAGGAAACATTGAAAACTTGCAACAGCAAACGGAAATGGCATCAGGCACGTTGCACTTTTTAGTTTGCCCACTTACTTGGCTGCCAATTGGGCGGCGCTGGGCGTGGTTGGGGGCATGCTAGTGGTTGTTGTTGTTGTTGCTCCCCGACGCCTCACAGCTGCAGCTGCGCCCGTTCTGCCACTTATAGCTGTCTCCTTGGCGCCCGCACCGCTGCCCAGCGCATTGTCATAGCCGTGGGCCGCCTGCAGCTTGGCATAGAGGGCAGACGTTGGCGCTGTTGACATCTTGGCGCCATAGCCGGAACCGGGCGCACTGCTCTCCGCCAGCGGCAATATCGCCGTCGCCGCATGGCTGCGCAGCTGTGTGTAGTCCGAAATGGCTCTGGTCACGGGCTCACGCACAATCAGCAGCAATTTGATGCTCGCATTCATGGCACGCACACGTTCCGGCACCTGCAAAGGAGCGAAAGAATATTGCAATTGCGGATACTTTAAGCCGGATGTGGTACATATATATATATCTCTTGAATAATGCCAAGTTATGACAGGGCCCAGAGAAGCAGCTAATGAATTTACGGGCAGCCATTGCCAGTTCTTGCCACCTGCCACCTGCCCCGTGTTACGCTTGTTGTTGCCACAGTGCAGTGAACAATTTAATTTAACCGGAAAATACGGCCGTAGAATCTCGTTGGCGAGAAGCTGCGGCGTACAGGCTCAAAGCTTAAGAGTCCCAAGTGATGTTTCATAAAATACCCTGTATTACGTGCTTTCAGCAGGCTTACAAACTACACTCTACTCTAAGCCAGTAAAATTCGGAAACATTCACTTTAATTACATACAAAATACCCTGTACTCTGTTCTCGCTTTTTACGCCAATTGTTGGTCTAGAAAACTATCGATATCCTTTGATAGTTTTAATAATCGACCTTTGGCATAATCGATATTAATAATATTAAGAGAAAGGCTAAAGAGGAAGGCTTTAGAAGAGGAAATAAGGCTTCTTAACTTAATTTAAAAATTCTCTATTAACTATATTAGATTACAATATACAATAAAAAGCAAAAAGGGAGAAAATGACTTTAAAGAAGGGGTAAGGAATTTGTTATAGAATAGGGAACAGATGGCGAGACATAATAAAAAGTTTAAGTTATATTAAATTATATTAAGTATAAAGAGCTAAGAGATTGTGATAAGAAATCATGTTCGCTATAATTAGCGTTCTTAAATTTTCCAAAATATTGGCATAGATATGAATTACATTCTAACCATCTGAGATATCAGAACGTCTTCCTTATTGTAGGATCCATTCATAAACCCGTATAGATCCCTAGTTTAAAGCACAGCATGTTGGGCGTGCCTTTAAATGTCGCCTACTACTTCCTCTAGGAAACTAGCACACCCCTTTACAAGATTCCCATGCGCATGGGGTATTTCAAAAAGCCAACGAGGCGAACCAAATAGAGTTAATCAATTTCAATGAGCGCCCGTAAAGTATGCAACAAGTGCAAGAGACTGGCAGGGTTTCATCTTGTTGAACCAGAAACCCAACGCGTCGGCCTTTTGTTCAAACTATGCCAGCAAACGAGCTGAATAAACGGCGCTATATTAACTATAAATATATATATATGCATGCATGCAATTTACAAAGTAGCCATGGTAAATATTAGCTCGTCCATGACTGCACGCTGACTCCCCGCGCTCCCGCCCCCAGCCGGCGACTCCTCCATTCTGTTTGCAACTGGAGGCGCAAGCACACCGTCGGGATTTGCATTATTTATGAACGCGAAGGCTAATTTTAAACAGCAAATGCGACGAGCAGCTCTCGCTTTAAATGTGCGCAAATTTAAATAAGATACAATTATCCAGAGAGAGACAGAGAGATCACGAGTGACAGAGACAGCTGCTCGGCCAGTGGGTCGTGAGTGAATGCTCCCAGAGGGGCAGATGACAGTCAGGCTATGTTTATGTCGCTCTCGACCTCTCTTGCCAGCAGAGCGTATGTCAATAAATATTAATCATGACATTAATGAAGATTTAACAAATGGAACGTAATGGAATGGAACCTAATGGAACGCAGCTGCAAACTGCAGCTCAGCTACAAATTGAAGGCATAAACTGAATGAATTATTGCATTGCCATGACAGCAACAACAAGCGCGCAGTCACCCAGATCCCAATCCAGATCCCAGCTACCAGTTACCAGTTACCAGTTACCAGTTATCAAGCTCGCCCGTTCCCAGCTGATGGCTTCAATTTCACTGACACATGCAACTTCCGGCTTGACCAGCAAATTGCATCAGCAGCCGAGCCACTCTGCGGGCAACAGGCGGCAAGAAATAGCAAAAAAAGATATTCCCAAAACAAAAAAATAGGTTAACATTCTTTTGAATTTAAATGACGGGTAGATACCCTGTACGGGACTTAAAGCATCTCTAATGTGTGAAATGTGCGTATTTTGATAGAATTTTTATTTTTGGATTAAAAAAGGGAAAACGCGGCTTGAAGAATGTCAATCATTGTTCTGGAATATGGGTAACATTCAGATATAAAACTATAATTGATAGTCGAAATATCCTCTTCTGATTATAATAAGCCCACAATATCTAAAGAGAGCTTAAAATATTGAATTTACCTAAGATACTTTTATTTTTATTATATTCGTTTTTTTTTCGTGTAAAAAATAACCTTTAAAGCTAAGGTGAGCTTTAATGATCAGAAATATAGGTCCAAAAAGATGCCTATTTGAAAATCGTACTCCATTTAGGCATTTGACAGGCGTACAGGGTATTAAAAACAATAATAAAACAGACTGTGACTGTCCTATAAACTGAACCAGTTGTGGGCGAGTAGCTATGGTTGAGTTGGTTGGGGCTTGAAGGGGGAGCTGTCGGGAACGATGTGTGTTAGATGACGCCGTTTGGCAAATGAATTTGCAAACATTTCCGCTGCCAAAATTGGTTGGATACGGACACGGACACGAGAGTTGAATACGGAAATTGGCAAAGAGACAGCGAGACAGACAGAGAGAGAGAGAGCGAGAGAGCGACCGAGAGTTAGCAAAGAGCATCGACAGCGTTTCGGTTTAATTTGATAGATGTCGATGCAATCTGCGGCTCTATATACACATAGATATTTACGTATATATTTCTACCTATGCCAGTGGCCAGTTAATTAATAATTAGGAGCGGTCATGTGCAGCGGACAAGCCTAATTGGCAATTATGACATCAAAGTGAGTGCAGAAATTTTAAATTCACCTCGGGCGAGACAAAGTAGCTGGGACTCTTCTCGATGGTAATTTGGCCTCGAAACGAGTGGGGCATCTTCTTACGATACCAGTCCAGGCCCCTCAGATAATTCTCATCCCGGTCAAAGAAGTGCACCTCGCCGCCCGCCTTCTGGATGCGGGGATGCAGATAGAGCATCTCGAGCAGGGCCCTCGTGCCGCACTTGCGTACGCCAATTATCAGTGCCTGTAATTGAAGTGCAAATGCAAATTGCAGCAATTAACAGTGTTGGGTAATTCGAAACCGGTCCGCATGCAATTACTCACCTGGGGCAGGCGTCGACTGGTTTTGGGGAAGTGCACACGGCTGGAGGGAAAAACCATTGGATGACTCAGCTGATTCGAGCTGGCCACGGGTTTCACAAACACGGGCAAATGATTGCCATTTGACGCTGTGCGAGCTGCGGCGGGAGCTGCGGCAGCTGCCGAGGCGGACGCGGCCAGCGAGAGGCGATGTCTTTCGTGCACCGCCTGCGCCGCCTGTATATTGTACACGGCGCTATCGTAGAGCACGTGAAAGGTGAGGAACAGCGAGATCAGCATGACCGTTAGAAAGACAACGGCCAGCTTTGGACGGGAGACGCCAACAACCAGGATGCAATCCGTGTGCGAGGCATCAGCGCTAACCGGGCGCATGGCCGACTTGGGCAGCCAGCTGAAAGAAAGAGCGGGAAGAAAATAATATCAATTAGTTTAAACACAAATATATGTTTAGACAATCGGTCCGTGATAGATATATATATATATATATATATATATATAGAAAAGACGATGGATAGATAAGTCTTGGAATATTGCCTACCAATCACACACAATTAAATAGTAAAACTTAGTTTTATTTTATGTTCATTTTTATATTTATTATTTGGATTACTGAGCGCGTCGCCTTGTTTGTTCAGAGGCTACACCAAGAGTGAGACTCAACGATTTAAGCATTTAAGTATCAAGACTAAAGTCTTTAAAATAAAAAAAAACCCTACTTGGTCACGGTAACTTTTGTATGATTGAGTGTTTGTGTGTATTTCGGTGTTGTTAAATTATTATTTACAACACAGTGCTGTGAAACAGATTTCACTTATTATTTCAACACTCAATATTCCAACAATAAGCTATGGGATACAATTTAAAAATCTCACGCTGTTGCCTTCGACTTTAATTTATCGATAACTCAATCTGATTCCCTGCAAATGATAAATATCGATCTCTCACCTATTTCACTTATTGAATAACTATTAAGAGCCTTGTATCTTTGGTATGCATAAGCTGAAACAAAGAACTTTATTAAATACGTTTGGAAAATACTCTGCTGTGTCCTCTATGATCATAACAGGAACAACTACTTGGGAGTCTTTTCTGCTATTTCCTTTATTATTAGAAAACTTGCAAACAGCTCTTACTCATTTCCAAACGGGAGGAATATTGCTACCAAAGAAGCTGAGGTATTTATCTACATGTATATATATTTTCTCAACGTAGTTTAATAGCTGAGATATAGACTAATTGCATTAGTGACCACTTAATCATTAAGAAATGAAGCTCTTTTTTTTATTATTAGAAAGGCCATTGAATACTTTATGTCCGACACCATAAAGGTGCCTTCTTCAGCCTGTTATATTAATTTACATTGACCTTTTTAAAATGCAAATTTAGCATGGATACTGCAGACGAAATTGTGTCCACGTGGTGGCATACGACCTACGCATTTGCAATTTAAATAATGTATAAGTAGCATTGCCTGTGGATCGGTAAGTGGCGGCATTGAGCAGGTTGGCAGCTCGAAAGTAGTGAAAAGTATAGCTTGTGCTTGTGCTCAATTAATCTAATGGGCGCCCGCTTTCAATGGCAGACGCCTGTCGCTAAGCTAATTAGATTGCCGTTTCAACTGGCGCTGAGTAATTAAAGTGGCGGCCCAAACGACCGACGGGCCGAAAGCAACTGGAAGTCTCGATGACTCACTAAGCGCCCCGAAAACTGCTTGCTGAAATTAGCGCGGCGACACTTGCTTTGGCTTTAAACGCCCCCTCAGACCACCCCACCACCCCACCAACCCACGAACCCAGCAACCCAGGCGTTGTTTAGCCATGCGGCTTGTCAGCGCTAAAGCGAATTCCATTATAAACGTTTCCGCTTAGACCGCAGCAAACACGGCTCACATTATGAGCGCATACAAACTGCAGTGGCCCACACGCGGCGTATACGTAACGTCGTCTAATGGATGACTTCATTTGCAGCATGCCGCAGCCGCAGCCGTAGCAGTAGCAGTAGCAGCAGCAGTAGACGCCTCCAGTCAGACGACGGCTAAGTGCATTTATATATATATATAGCCAGCGTTAAAGGTGGTCTACAGCTGGAGGGGCTAGGGGGAGTTTGGGGCACGGCAACAGGCAGTTGGCAGCTGGCAGCTGGCGTTCCATCCTGTTGGCCGAGTTTCGCCTGCGACACCTCGTTAAAAGTAACGACACAGCGTGCTGCAGCCCACAAGGAGTCACTTCACACATTTTCCACATTTTCCAACTCCTATCTACTCAAACTCCGACCGTGTGGCACACACACACACACACACACAAGACGTCTTCCGCCTGTGGCATGCTTTAAGTTTTCTATTTGCAACACAGACACACACTGGCTCGCCTGGCCTCGTTTTTCACGCCCCTTTTTGGGACAGGCGTGGCTACCCACTTGACTTGGCATCTGCATAAACGCAACGCTTCCCTTTGACTGTTATGTTATTGTTGTTCCTGTACTTGTTATTAGTGCGCTGCTGCCGCTTGTTGTGGTAGCTGCTGCTGCTGCTGCTGTCACGCATTCGAGTTGACAGCCCGCCCCTCGCTGCCCCTCGCCGACACAGCTCGCACCTCAGCCCAGACGTTCCGGCTGTCGTGCTGGCCCGCAGGCAGCTTAAACAGCTTAAATTCTGTCCAAATCGGACTTTGTTTTAAAAGGGCTCAACAGTCAGTGCGATTCGCTTGAAAGCGGCTTAAGGACTTAGCCAAAACCCCAACACGAACTGAGTGCTCAACAATTGCAGCAGTTTGCAATTAATATTAATATTGCCAACTTCTTACATTTATCCAACCGATTTCATTTAGCTGCCCCAAAATATGATTTGTGGCGTTCTTTAATTAAAACTGAACAAAGTTTCGGATTTCGAGACAACTTCTTGGCGTTGCCAACAATTAAAGCCAAAGCAATTAAACAACGTTCCTGGTTTCTATAGCAAGTGTTGGCTATCAAACAAGGCTTGCTTTAATTGATAAACCATGGTATAGATAACATTTTTGTTTTTATTGCCAATTATAAACAATAAAAAATCATTGCCGTTTTCTGCATTTCATTCAACCCAACGTGCATTGAACATTTGTATACCCTTCCAGAGTGTATTGAAATATAGATAAAGACATCTCTCAACAGATAAAGTATATATAAACATATGACAGAACCAGGCGTATCGGACCACTATAGCATTTAGCTTGCATTGGAACGATTGGTCGATAAGTAGGTTATTGCATTCACTATGCTCCTCATATATATATACGCAAAATCCTATCAACATCGGACCACAATATCATATTGCTGCCATAGGAACGATATCTTTACAAATCCGGCATTTATCAGTTAAACTATGCTGCTCACATATGAGCCAAATCATGATCGCACTGATATTTATATTATACAGCCCTTTTAAATGGCAAAATATGCAAACTCATAATTTGCGAGCTTCACTATTTTCACATAGTTGCAAAGCAAATGTTTACAAGTGTATAAAATCTTCGGCTTGCCGAAGAGATTCTTGTTTTCTCGTTATTGCTGCAAGTCTTTTGATGAAGTAAACCGAACCAGAAAAAATTTGTGATTGATTTGCTGGCATGAATATGTCAAGCAGAAAGATGCAAGCAATACAATTAAATCAATCGAGAGTTTAAGCAATGCTAACTATGGAAACTATATTAAGTATTTAATTAAACAAACTGGGTTATTTTGCACATCTAAGGAGCACACGTTCCTTCAATCCAACTTCTTTCAGCTGTATTCTGTATTCAGTGTATTAGCTTTAGTAAATCTCTTAATCTCTTAATATAATAAAAGCCAAGGAATCATCTGAACATGCTCAGTCCTATCCAGATATGTCTAATTTGTAATTTTACTATGCCTGTATATGGCCACAGTTTTGTTCCCTTAAACTCGGCTCGTCAGCTCCAACAACAATTAGTCACATTTTGTTCTTTCTAGATTATTTATCTCTATATGCACTTTCCTACGCATTCAATATGAAAACATGGAAAATTCAGATTGGGCATATGCATGCAATTAAGAAAGTTAATTGGCATACACTGAAATGCTTATCAAAAGGAATATAAATATATGGCAAAGCTGTGGAAATGGACTGAGAAAATTGTTGTCCAGCCATTAACATGAATGCAATTTTCATTCGAGTCGTTCAAACGAAAATTTTATGAAAGCATGAGACGTGCGAACATTGACTTTTTCCTACATTGGACATTGCCTTTTCCAGCACAGTGTTAAAGTAGGTTTAATGACTACTGTATACCCTGTAGAAAATTAAGACATCAAATGGAATATTTTTAAAAATATTTGTAACTTACAAACCAACTACATAGAACAACAATAATTTTACAGGATAGTAAAAAATATTACTTTTTAAATTTATTCCAACTTTGATTTAACTAATTATTTGAGCCTTACGACAAATCTTCTATATATCCAGTACAAATCGTTATATGGGTTTGTTAGGTTGTAATTATTGAAATTTAATATTAATTATTCTTGTATTTTTATGCAGTTTTTACTTTGAAATTCATTTGTAAACAGCCTCTGCTGCAGTTTTTACAGGATATAAGTTATTTAACAAGTCGCATAGTCTCACGACTGCCTGAATCAGCATTAGCCCGTGGGGAATATACAGCTCTAATCTAGACGAGAGCCCACTCAGACCCTCAATATTAGCCCGTCTAGGGGAATACTCACAGGATGTCCAGCGGCAATTTGACAGAACAATCGCGCAGTGTCGCCGTGGCTGATGCTGCTGCGGATGCCTGCTGCTGGTGCTGATGCTGTTGGGGCGAGTGCTGCTGCTGTCTCTGGTGGTATTGCTGTGGGTGGTGGTGCTGGCCATGGGGATGATGTTGATGTTGCAGCAGCTGCTGGTACTCGTGCGCCTGCTGATCCGCATCCTGATGCCGATGCTGCTGCTGCTGCTGCTGCTGCTGTTGGTGGTGCTGCTGTTGGTGCTGGTGATGATGCAGTTGATGATGCTGCTGCTGCAATGGCTGCTGCTCGCTGCTGCTGCTGCTGCCGGTTGTTGCACGTCTCTTGGCGGCAGTCATCAGTGTGGCATCAGGCTGACGTTCAATGGAGCCAAAATTATTGCCGCTGGCTGTTGGAGGCGGCGACTAATTGGCCAGCGCTGGCCGCACGTACGCGAGAGGGGGGCGCCCTCCCCCGTTAGAGAGGCCCTGCTGCCTGCTGCTTGCTGCTTGGGGTCGTTGCCTTGCCTGGGTTTTTCGGTTTAAGAACTGAACTCCAATTGAAGGCAACGTGCAACGGCTGATTTATGGCCGCTACCACGCCCCCGACTATGCTATGAATCTGCCGCCTTTTTGTCGACTCTTTGTGCGCTTAATTAAATTCTCAGCAGCTGCAGCAGTTGCACTCGCTCTTGTTGTTGTGGCACGCTCGCCTTGCTGCTTGAACTCTTCAAGCTGAATTTTTATGCACTCTCATATTAAATGGGTCAGAAAAACGTTGCTAATATTCGGCTGGCCAAAACGGAAGCTCATCCTCATCATCCGCCAGGCAGCTAGATCGCTGTGCGTGTAATTAGATTTGTTGCTACTGCGCCAAGTGCTTGCCACATTCTGTTGCTTAAGTTTCTGATGTCCGTTGCTGGCGCTTAATTTGCCAGCAGCTGTTGCTGCTTCTGCTGCTGCTGTTGACATGGCCAAAATTTCTACGTTTGCAGCCCATTGTTGTAATGTTTGGAGAATGGCCCGTGGGGCGCCGTCAGCTGCAAAGAGTTTAAATTTAATCCGTGAAAAAAAGCCAACATTTCAATAATGTAGTCAAATGATTGCGTAACCTCTGCCTGTCAACATATTTAAATGGACCTACATACATATGTAAGCATTCGTACATGCATGTACAGACATATCTCCATACATACATAGCCAGACACATAGCTAACCTGACACAATTTTTGTACTATAGGCACGAATCGAATACATTGGCTCAGTCGCATTTTGTGAGGAGTCGCACACAGATCTTGCTTAGTCCGGACAGAATGAACTCCACAGTCTTTTTAATATTTGAAATACCGCCTGCAGGTAAAAGCGAGCCTAATCGTATTGATAGTATTCTCAAAAAAATATGTTTTCCTACACAGATCCTTGGACAAAGCACATACCCTTACTGAACTCGGCATGGCCTGTTACAATAGTCTTATTGGCATATTTATTATTTGTCTTAAAGTACGGAAAAATATTTATGGAGCACCGCAAGCCGTACAATTTGAAAAATGTTATACTCGCCTATAATATCTGCCAGGTGATCTTCAATGCACTTATATTTATTATGGCAAGTATCCCAGGTCGCAAATCACATTAAACGCACTCACTAATAACTCGTCCTTCCCTTAAAGGCTGTCTATTATCTCTTCATCAATCCTACGTATGACCTATGTTGCATAGACACCCTTGCGCTAGACCATCCGAGAAAGAATATCGAACGCTGGCTTACGTATGCCTACTTTCTTAACAAGGTACTCGACCTGATGGACACCGTGTTCTTCGTGCTGCGCAAGAGCTACAAGCAGATTACAACGCTCCATGTTTACCATCATATGATGATGGTATATACCATTTACTGGACGGTGCGGTTCTACGGTGTCGGTGGCCAATATAATACAATGGGCTTATGTAATTCGTTTGTGCATACCGTCATGTACTTCTACTACTTCATATCGGCCATGCGTCCGGGACTTAAGGGCAGCCTCTGGTGGAAGAAGTACATCACCAGGATACAAATAGGCCAATTTATTATATTGTTCATGCAAGCTACATTAGTGCTATTATTTAATCCCTCGTGCCAATTTCCAATCTTTATGCAATACCAACAGCTATTTCAGGCTACCGTAATGATTGTCATGTTCAGTCAATTCTATTATAGGACATATCTTAGTCCCCGACCTCAGAAACAAGAATAAACAAAATTAACACATTCGTAAAGCTTCTTTTTTCTTTGTCTACTTTTGGCGACTTTTAGTAGGATTCTTTTCTTAAAGCAAAGAGGACTACGAACTTTTACATAAAGCTAAAGCCTGTTTTAGGCTACCCATAGCCTGTTACGGTAATAAAACTCGAATATTGAATATTCTTGTTAAGAATCGTTGGAACGAATCGAAAATATAATCCTCATCAATAACGTCTGCCAACCGATCTACATTGAAGTTCTGTTTTCTTTTGTTTGCAAATCACATTAAAATTGACAAGTTTTAACTAAGAAACATTTTAAAGTATCATTTATCCGGCGTACGACTTACGACGCATGAAAACTGGTCCGGAAGAACATTCAAATAATATAATAAGCTGATAGATCTGTTGGATACCGTGTTCTTTGTGCTGCGAAAGAGCTACAAGCAGATAACAATACACCACGTTTACCATCATGCCCTGGTGGTCTTTGGAGTATATTGGTTTATAAGGCTGTACGGAGTCGGTGGCCAATACATGATGACGGGAGTCTTTAACTCTTTTATGCATACCGTCATTTTTTTAGTACTTCATTTCGATAATATATCCAGCTTCTGGTGGAAGAAGTACATCACGAGGATGCAAATAGTACAATTAATTCAATTGTTCAATCCTACTTGGCTATTTCCAACTTTTCTGCAATATTTACAGCTCTTCCAGACTACAGTAATGACTGCTATGTTGCTCATACATCAAAAATAAGAATGAAATGCCCGACAGAAGAGGCTCTTCGCATTCATGCTTATTTATTAGATTTTATGTTTTGCTTATTTTTCCCACCAAGCTTAAGTACATAATTTTGTAAGATAGTTTACTTGTGTTAAGTGTGGACTATTTAACAGAGGGAATACATAATATATTTTAATGAAACTCAATTGGAAAAACGTGTGTAGTCTTTGTATTACATTAGCGACAACCATTAAACATTTAAATACACAATAAGTTTTTTGTTGCGGCTATGCCTTAGTTAAAGTAAGAACTGGCAGACTGTAAATAGACAGTTCCAGAATACGAAATGTCTTTGTTAGGGTGTATACACATACATAGTATACACAGATCGAGAATATTGGGCTTTTTGGTAAAGTCAAATACGAATGCTCATGCCCTGAAGATTATATAGAGATCGCACAATAAACGATAAAATTATTAAAGAACGCATTTTCCATAGCGCTAGGTTAAAGGAAGAGCACAGCCGGAAAAAGTGCGAATGCTTGTAGCAGCAGCATATTGCTGGGATCAGGAAATCTCTTAGTTTGCACTCCCGACATGGGCACTTTTGCTTATGACGTGTTTTGCTTGTATTTTTTATGTTACTGGGAAAACTTTAAATATTTTTTAGGCATTCTATTTACATCATTCTATTTTTCTATTAGCGACTTAAAACTTGTGTAGACACATACTGATTTATACCCTCGTCGGATTAAGTGTAAAGATTCTATGGCTAGCCGGGAAAATCTATATCGTTTACCAGTGTATATATATATATAAACATCTAGTAAATGGCTGATAGCCTGTTGATACCCTAATCCCATTAAAAAGGGTAAAATGGCTTTGGCAGAGCATATTCGAACCCATAAAACTAACATTTTCTTGGTCAACATTTATAGCCGTGTTGATCTGGCCATGTCTTTCTCTCCGTATGAAACTATATGAACTAAAAATTAAAATTTTAAAAGGTCCTTGTCCCATTGCCAACAAATCGAATATAGATGAAAATCGATATCGAAAGAATGATTTTGGGTAATGCAGCTTGAAGCTTATAGGAGGCATACACACCTAATTGGACATCTGGACTATCGCATTGTATACACATATACAAAATAGTTCACTTATTGGATACGTCTTCTTATGTGGGACGAAGGTTCTCCTAGTCTCCGCTACTTGTCCCACTTATCGATATGATATGTGATATCGATAAGATTAGCACATCTCAGATCGGACAAAAAGCACCGAAGTAAATAACGAAAGCATATCCGTTAAAGTTTGGCCCCACTTGCTTCGCCTATTAGCGAGCATTATGCAGTCGGTTGTACCCGTTTGCGACATTCTTACTTGCTTACTATTATTATTATTTTTACCTCTTTTCGTTTATTTTACATCAGCTTTTAACTTTTAAGGTGTTTTAAGTAAAGTCGTTTCGATTAGAGTATTCGTACTTCTTTACATATGCACTTTGGTATGACTGAATTTGGTTTCTAATTTGGCTCTATTTATTCCCTTGTAGTTGGGTATTGAAATGTAGTTACACAATATGTAACACAGTGAAGACATCAATCGGAGCAGTCAACTGTGTATATGATCATGCTTTAAAATAAAACATGTTTTTTATTTAAGGATGTGTATGAAGTATTCAACTAGACTTTTAGATCAGATTCCAATTTTCGCATAGAACTGATAAGAAACAAAATTTGTTTAGAATGTCTGCAAGGGTATTCAATATTCAATATTCGACACTCTGATGTTATCCATTTACACTTTTGGAATCGTGGTAGTACTTAAGCAGTTGTGAGTTGGTGTTTATACTTATTTCCATGGTCGCGTTGAAGCTCTGAAGAGCCCGATTCGAAATATAATTCAGCAAAATGGGTTCAAGTGCATTCGAAATTTTCTACAGAGCCCCAGCAGGTACAATATCCTTTTATTAAGCGATTGATTATTCTCACAAATTCTAAACTTTTTCTTTGAAGATCCTATTGTGGCCCAGTATATGCCATTACTATCTTCCCAGTGGCCTGTAACAATCATTTTGCTATGCTATTTACTATTTGTTCTTAAACTAGGAAAAATATTTATGGAGCACCGTAAGCCGTACGATTTAAAAAATGTGATTCTCGTCTATAATGTCTGCCAAATGATCTACAATGCATTTATGTTTGGTGTTGTAAGTTTCGCAAATCACATTCAAACTAAAAAGCTTTAACTAAGAATACTCTTAAAGGGTTTTTACTATATCATCCTTCATCCGGCGTACGACCTACGATGCATGCAACCCGGTGCGGAAGACCATCCGGATAAGAGTGTAGAGCGCTGGATAACATGTAGCTACTTCCTGAATAAGGTGCTAGATCTGTTGGATACCGTGTTCTTTGTGCTGCGAAAGAGCTACAAGCAGATAACTGTACTCCACGTTTACCATCATGTCCTGATGGTCTTCGGAGTATATTGGTGGGTGCGGCTGTGTGGAGTTGGTGGACAATACATGATGACGGGATTCTTTAACTCCTTTGTGCACACCGTCATGTATTTCTACTATTTTATTTCGGCAATGTATCCGGAGCTTAAGAGCAGCCTCTGGTGGAAGAAGTACATCACGAGGATACAAATAGGTCAATTTATTCTCTTGTTCATGCAAGCTGCATTAGTGCTATTATTTAATCCTACTTGCGAATTTCCAATGTCCATGCAATATCTACAGCTCTTCCAGTCTTCACTAATGACTGCCATGTTTGGCAATTTTTATTATCATGCTTACGTTAAGCCCAAAAACCAGAAACAACAATAAAAGCCCTTATACAATCTGTCTCAAATCTTTTTGACTAAGAAGCGCTATGCATTTTTACATTCTTATACATAGGTTAATTGCAGACTTTTTAACAGAGTAGACATCGAACTAGCGACATTTTCATGGTTTCAAGGCTTGCCATCTACTTACATATGTATTTCCGTGCACGTATTTCATTTAGTACATCTTCCGGTCTATTTAAAGAAATTTAATTTCAAGGCGGGTTGAAAAACATTACAAGAGAAGCATTTTAAAATTTCTCTTAATCTATTTAATTGAGAGGCGACTGATCGTTGAACGCTCTTAGACCTTGCTCAGAGAATTCTACTCAGTCGGTTAAGCTCAAAATTAAAATGCAGTTTCGAATTTGAATGGCTAAGCAAATAGTAAATAGCAAATAGTGCATATTTATGCACTGAGTTGCATAAAGATCGGACTGTAAGCACCAAACTTATTCAAGAACGCATTTCCTTCAGTGTAGGAATAAGAACTCAGCTAGTTTTATTTCACAATCTTTGTTGTTTAAGAAACCCCCATAACAGTTTTTAAAGCAATACAATCGATAATAGTGATGGGCAAGATCTATCGTCTGATACATCTGACACACTCCCGATTAGAGCAGCTTTTAATGTTTTACATTGGCTTTTATTTTCCACGTGAACATCGATTAGATAATTGGCTTTTGTTATACACCTAGTTTGACTTTGTTTTCTAACCTTATAGCTGGGTTTTAAACTTTTATTACTAAATATGCAATGCATTAAAGCAGACACAAAACGTGTGCCTTGTTTAAAACTATAAATTTTTTGTATTGAAAATATAGTATATAACAAGCAAGAACCTCTAGTCGGGAGTTCCCGACTAGGGGATACCCTGAACCCTTTTCTACCAACACCAACTGCAGGTCGCGATAGCAATCGAACCTGTACATATACAGAAATTCTTGCGCCTTGCGCTAGCTGCCACTGACACGTGGGCTGCCAATATATACATACATGTTATTTTTAATAACTTCTGTGTTTCTTAACCGCTCGTGATGACATTTTCAACAATAGATCTTATAACACTGTAGAATATAAGTGTATTCTCAAAAAGTCATTAAAACGGCGGTAAAATTGTGGCTTAAATTGGTGGGTAGCTCGAATTGATTTATTTATTTGATATAAAGGTATGGTGTATATATATATATATATATATATATATACATATATATATTATTGTAGCAGCTACATGTCAAGGTTGGTCACCCTAGCTCTTTTAACTTACGAGATTTGCTCAAAAAACAGGTTTTCAATATCGATTTTTATCGATTGCTTGGAAACGGGGCAGGTTATCGATTATTGAAAAACTCGTGATGCGCGGGGCGGTCGGGCAGACAAACGGACGGACCGACAGTCGGACAGACACACGGACATAAATCGTATCGGCTTGTGATGCTGATCAAAAATATATGTACTTTATGGGGTCGGAGAGGCTTTCTGCCTGTTACATACATTTGCACAAAAACATCATACCCTTTTTCCCCATTTTTAATTGGTTCAGAGTTTAATAAGAGTAATTCACTAGGTTTTCGGATCGTATAACTATAACCTCAAAATACTGGCATGCGATAAATTTGTTTAAGTTGTTAGCAAGGGTATTCATTCTTCGTCAACCTTATATCATCCATTTACACGTACTTAAGTAGTCTGCAAGTTGGGATTTCGTTTCAATATCATAGTGTAGCTGCTACTCACAAGAGCCCGATTTGAAATATAATTCAGCAAAATGGATTCAAATGTATTCGAAATATTCTACAGAGCGCCAGCAGGTACTTTATCGTTTTATTAAGCTGTCGATGATTTTCACGATTTCTTCGTAGACCCTGTGCTGGCCAAGAACATGCCAATGACAGCCTCCCACTGGCCTGTTTCGTTACTCCTAGTGGGATACTTACTGTTCGTATTAAAAATCGGTAGAATATTCATGGAAAAGCGCAAACCGTACAATTTGAAAAATATTATTCTCGTCTATAATATTTGCCAGATGATCTACAATGCCGCTATGTTTTCTTATGTAAGTATCACAAATCCCATAATAAAGCCGTATCTAAGATATAATTTAAAGGCTGTACACTTCATCTTCGTAAATACGACGTACGACCTACTATGCATGGAAAGCCTGCCGCACGAACATCCGTTTAAGGATACGGAACGTTGGCTTACGTATATCTACTTCCTGAATAAGGTGATAGACCTGTTGGATACCGTGTTCTTTGTGCTACGAAAGAGCTCTAAGCAGATAACTGTACTCCACGTTTACCATCATGTCCTGATGGTGTCTGCAATGCATTGGGTGCTGCGGCTGTACGGAGTCGGCGGCCAATACATGATGATGGGATTATTCAACACTTTTGTGCATACCGTCATGTATTTCTACTACTTTATTTCGGCAATGTATCCGGAGCTTAAAAGCAGCCTCTGGTGGAAGAAGTACATCACGAGAATACAAATGGGTCAATTTATTCTCTTGTTCATGCAAGCTGCATTCGTGTTGTTATTCAATCCTACTTGCCAATTTCCAATATTCTTGCAATATCTACAGCTCTCCCAGTCTTCAGTTATGATTGTCATGTTTGGCAATTTCTATTATCATGCTTACATTAAGCCCAAACACCAGAAACAACAATAACAACCCTCATACAAATTATGATTTTTAAATGTTTTTGTTCAGCCTTGCCTTGCATAAGCAATAATATTCTTCGCCAACTTTGAAGAGGCGCTATGCATTTCTACATTTTCAGATAATTTTTTTTTTATATGCTTGCTTTCTTACATTAAATGCTGACTATTTAACAGAGAGGATGTCGAACTATATTTATTTCCGTGAAATTTATTGAATCCCCATATAAGAATAATTTCAAGGCGGGTTGAAAAACATTTAAAGAGTAGTATTTACTAATTTGTCTTAACCCATTTCGATGAAATTTGATCTATTGTTAAACAACATTCTTAGACCTTGCTCAGAGAATTAAACTCAATCGGTTAAGCTCAAAATTAAAATGCAGTTTCGAATTTAAATGACTGAGAAAATAGGCGAGGACAGCTCTAATCGTATTCATTTGCTTGAAATATGAGTTTTTGATAGATTTTGGATAAGCATATTTAGAACATATGTTGTCTTCTGGTGAAAATCTTTAATCCTCGTCTTAATACGCACTTCTATCACATAAGGTAACTACAGTGAAAGGTCAGTTTCTCAATTCTTATGGTTTGGGCTGTGCCAACTTCCACTGTTCCCCCGGAAAATGAAAAATCAACAGTATAGTCATAGCCTTTGTATTTACACATATTCAGATGCCATATTTATGCACTGAATTGCATAAAGATCGGACTTTAAGCACCGAAGTTATTCAAGAACGCATTTCCTACATTGTAGGAATAAGGGAAGAAGAATCAGTGCTAAGCTATTTTTATTTCACAAACTTTGTTGTTTAAAAAACCCTCATAGCAGTTTTTTTTAAGCAATAAAATCGATAATAGTGGTGGGCAAGATCTATCGTCTGATACATTCGATACTTGTGATGGGTAATTGCTATCGTCTGATACATCCTATTTCCACTCCCCATTAGAGCAGTTTTCCATGTTTTCCATTGTCTTTTATTTTCTGAGTGTTTCCACGTACCCATCGATTAGATAATTTGCTTTTGTTATACACCTCGTTTGACTTTGGTTTCTAATGAGATTCTTTGTATACCCTTGTAGCTGGCTTTTACAATTTTGTTACTAAATATGCAATACATTAAAGCAGACACTTACAAAACGTATGCCTTGTTTAAAACTATAGATTTGTTGTATTGAAAATAAAGTATCTAATTAGAGTAGTTCATCAGGTTTTCGGATCGTATAACTATAACCTCACAATACTGGCATGCGATAAATTTGTTTAAGTTGTTAGCAAGGGTATTCATTCTTCGTCACCCTTATATCATCCATTTACACGTACTTAAGTAGTTTGCAAGTTGGGATTTCGTTTCAATATCATAGTGTAGCTGCTACTCACAAGAGCCCGATTTGAAATATAATTCAGCAAAATGGATTCAAATGTATTCGAAATATTCTACAGAGCGCCAGCAGGTACTTTATCGTTTTATTAAGCTGTCGATTATTTTCACGATTTCTTCGTAGACCCTGTGCTGGCCAAGAACATGCCAATGACAGCCTCCCACTGGCCTGTTTCGTTACTCCTAGTGGGATACTTACTGTTCGTATTAAAAATCGGTAGAGTATTCATGGAAAAGCGCAAACCGTACAATTTGAAAAATATTATTCTCGTCTATAATATTTGCCAGATGATCTACAATGCCGCTATGTTTTCTTATGTGAGTATCATAAGTCAGCCATTATAAACGCCGTATCTGAGATATCATTTAAAGGATTTATACTTCATCTTCGTAAATACGACGTACGACCTACGATGCATGGAAAGCCTGCCGCACGAGCATCCGTTAAAGGATACGGAACGTTGGCTTACGTATATCTACTTTCTGAATAAGATGATTGACCTGTTGGATACCGTGTTCTTTGTGCTACGAAAGAGCTCTAAGCAGATAACTGTACTCCACGTTTACCATCATTTCCTGATGGTGTCTGGAATGTATTGGGTGCTGCGGCTGTACGGAGTCGGCGGTCAATACATGATGATGGGATTATTCAACACTTTTGTACATACCGTCATGTATTTCTACTACTTTATTTCGGCAATGTATCCGGAGCTTAAAAGCAGCCTCTGGTGGAAGAAGTACATCACAGGGATACAAATATTACAATTTATTCTATTGTTCTTGCAATCAGTAATAGTCTTCTCATTCAATCCTACTTGCCAATTTCCAATCTTCCTGCAATATCTACAGCTCTCCCAGTCTTCAATTATGATTGTCATGTTTGGCAATTTCTATTACAATGCTTACGTTAAGCCCAAACAGCAGAAACAGCGAAAAGAGCCCTAAACATGGAAATTCTTTTTTTCTGAATTAATATTATATTTTAATAAGTCGCTATGCATACATATTTATCAAATATAATTTTGTTTTTCCAACGAACTTGAGTATATATTTATTTATGGAAGTCAGGAATCGAATATCAATCCAAGGGCAGCAGTTGCAAATTTATCATTCACGGGAATGGACTTATCGCTCTGCATGTGCAGAGAGCTATACTCAGTCGACTAACCTTCACAGACAGCAAATGTAATACATTTAAATTGCAAATATACAAGTTTAAATGATACACGTCTTTGCAAATCAGTTTATAATAGAATTGTACGTAACAATAGAAAACTAATTGTCGTCAAGACATAAAAAGAATACCCTGGAACTGGACAGTTTCTGGCAATTGGCTACTCTTATATTTTTTTTTTTAAAATCAACTTTGGTTTTTTTTAACTGGAAGATATTTAAAGATTTAAAAAAAACGGTGAATTTTGCGAAAAACCCATCAAATAAATTCTCTCAAAGATCTTTGAAAATTAGTTTGAATCCGATGATAAATAAATAAGTTGCAAATTTTCCGCCAAATTTCCACAGTTGCGGGTGGAATAACCAAAATCGCTGAGCAAGTATTTATACAATTTAATTTAAAAATAAGTTTATTGCTGCTCGAAGAGAACTTATAACTTATAACCAAAAATATCTTTGAATCGCATTTACCACTCAGCTTCCTCGGATACGCAAGATGTGTGAAACACGGCACAAACAAATTATTATTATGAAAGAAAGATAAATTTGATCGCCACCAAATCTTTGAACCCCTTTTATACCAAGGAGGAATTGATTTTCCGAAAAGTATGAAAAAACCATCAAATTAATTGGAGCTAAGATCGAACAAAGAAAACGAGTTAGGACCGATCGGATGGTCAAAAGCGCAATACCAACGTTTTTCACTATTTTTCCACACTTTCGCGTGGAATTTTCGAAAAAACCGTTTTAGCGTTTGATTTTGAGGTCCCGAGATCTTGGGCTGTGCATTAATTACCAATCGGTCAGTCAGTCTGATTATATGTTTAGAAGGGTATCTTCAAGTAATGGAATTGCGATTAGTACATTCGTACTTGTTTACATATGTACTTTGGTCCGATTGAATTTTGTTTCTAATTATATTCTAAATGTTCCCCGGCAGTTGGGTAGGTTTGCTTTGTTACAATTACCAGATTGTTCACAAGGCCTTGCTTAACGCAAACATATTTTGTATTTCCAATAAAGTAGAAAGTATTTAACTGGATTTTCGATCTTACTATAACCCCATAAAAGTGGCGTGCGATAAATTCGTTTAAGATGTCTGCAAGGGTATTCATTCTTCGGCACGCTGATGTTATCGATTTACAATGTTGCTGGTACTTAAGTAGTTGTAAATTGGTGTATATGTTTATTTCTATGTAGCAGTTTCAGCTTACAAGAGCCCGATTTTAAATTTAACTCAGCAAAATGGGCATATTCGAGGTTTTCTATAGACCGCCAACAGGTAAAATATCCTTTTATTCAATAATCGATTCCTCTTACAAAATCTGAGGATTCTCCATAGATCCTGTAATGGCCAGGGATATGCCATTGCTAGGCTCGCCATTGCCTGTAACATTCATCTTGATGTGCTATTTACTATTTGTACTTAAACTCGGAAAAATTTTTATGGAGCACCGAATGCCGTACAATTTGAAAAATATAATACTGGTCTACAACTTTTGTCAGATGATCTACAATGCGATTCTATTTTATTATGTGCGGCTGGAAACTTGCGATTATGATGACATGAAGCTAAATGTGTTTTTCTTTTTCAGGGTATATATCTTATAATCCTGAAGCCGGTTTACGATATACGGTGCATTGTAATTCTTCGAGACGATCATCCGATGAAGGGAACTGAGCGTATGGTGGCATACACCTACTTTCTAAACAAGACTATTGATCTGCTGGATACGATTTTCTTTGTGCTGCGCAAAAGCTATAAACAGATCACTTTTCTGCACGTTTATCATCATGTAATGATGGTTTATACCACTTATTGGGTGATACACTTCTATGGATGTGCTGGCCAATATACTGTGATGGGAACTCTGAACACTTTTGTGCATACTGTTATGTATTTTTATTACTTTATTTCCGCAATGTATCCAGAGCTTAAGGGCAGCCTTTGGTGGAAGAAGTATATCACCAAAATTCAGATACTGCAGTTCGTGATATTGATAATCCAATCACTTCTAGTCCTAATATTCAATCCGAGTTGCACATTTCCGATCATTTTGCAATACATACAGCTCTTCCAGGCCACTGTGATGATTATTATGTTTGTTAGGTTCTATATACAGACTTATGTCAAGCCAAAACAGAAGAAACATGTAAAATAATATAAAATAACAAATTATATTATCCGTATAAAGGGCCAGTTAGTCAAAAATTCACAGCTGGATTTATTGTTCAAATAAAAACGTACTGTCTTGATACAAGTATTTTACTGTACGAATTCTTTAAAAAGTGCGCAGTCTTCATAGACCTTATATATTTTATAACTAAATGCCTTGCTGAATGTATTTGAATGTATTTAAAAACGGTACATAATTATCGTTTGGTATATTCGATTATTTAACATTACAACAAATGTTCAGAATACACCGAACAGGCAATTTTACTGAGTGTATATGATATGTGTATAAGACGGCGCTTTCGAACTAGAACTTGCGTTTTATACACGTAAATCCTTAGTTGGGCTTTGTAAACCAGATCGAATATACATTAAAATACATCGAATAGGCATTAAGCTGGGCTTGCACGTGCTTATGTTTAGAGCCCATTCGTTTTGGTGAATATTCAATTTTCTTTGATGTACTATGGCACTATGGTACATATATCATTAATATTAATGAACCAAAGTCCAAAAAAGCTTTTGTTATATATTTGCAAACAGCTTGTAAAGCTTTCAAGATATTCGAGGTAGTTCCAACTCAATATCTTTATTCTTTATTCTGCCATTCTCCGATTTCGCTCTCCCCCTTTTCGCGCAGTATTCGTTTCTGTCAACGCATTTTCAAAATAGACTCCAGAAGAAACTCAAGAAATAACTCATTTGATTCATACAATAATTTGATTAGAAATGGAAACCGTTTGACATTCGCGTTCATTCGCAAATCGTATTCCGACTATACTGGACGAAAAATTGAAGCGATGTTCGGCATTTTTAATATACCGCCTCCGGGTAGGATATATAGCTCGTCGTGATGACTCTATATCAGTTGGATTAACCAGTAATATTATTAACACAGATCCTAACCAGCTGCCCTTAACGAATTCACCATGGCCGCTCATTTTAATACTGACAAGCTATTTACTATTTGTACTCAAATTTGGTAAGATCTTTATGAAGCACCGAGAACCATACGACTTGACCAAGTTATTGCGCGTCTACAATCTGGGCCAGGTGGCATACAATGGCATCTTCTTTGGCATTGTCAGTAAACAATTTATTTAATAGCAATCAATTGGAGCATGAGTCAGTATGTTTAATATTCTATTTTTCCGCAGACATTCTATTATCTGATCTGTCAGCGCATTTGCAATCTGAACTGCATGGAAACCTTTCCGTTTGGGCACGAGCACAAGAATCTGGAGCGGTATGTGCACTTTGCGTACTTTATCAATAAGATCCTGGATCTGCTGGACACGATATTCTTTGTGCTGCGCAAGAGCTACAAACAGATCTCCTTTCTGCATGTTTATCATCATGTAATGATGGTTATCGGCTGTTATTTGGTGATGCGCTTCTATGGAACTGGTGGGCACTTTAATGCCGTGGGCATGATCAACTCTTTGGTGCATACTGTTATGTATTTTTACTACTTCCTTTCGGCGCATTATCCTAATGTCAAGGCGAATATTTGGTGGAAAAAGTATATAACAATGACTCAACTCATTCAGTTTGTTGCACTATTTCTTTACGCGTCCTACGTGCTGCTCTTCGCCAAGAATTGTCGCTTTCCCAGCAGCCTGCTGTTGATACAGATAGTTCAGGCCGTGATTATGATGTTTATGTTTGGCAAATTTTATGTGAATACCTATGGGCTTACATCGAAGCACCAAGTGCGTCATAAACAGGGCTAATAGATTAACTAACGATGACTTTCCCCGCGTATTTTTCATAATGTAAATAAAGTTTAATTTAAATATCAATGTTTTGTTGTCGTGGGCTAATTACCTAATGACCAAAGGGCCAATGCGTGATCTAGATTCCATATCCAAAATGATTTGCAATTCGTGCCAAACGCGATGGCATTTTCTAGACGTGTACTGCATTGTATTATTTTCTAAGTTTGAACTCATCGTATAATGAAAATTATAGCGTGGTGCCCCCGGGGGCAGGTAAATTAACGTGACTACCGACTCAAAATTTATTAGGACTGCAATGAGTGCTAAGTAACTGAAAAAAGCAGCAAAAATGTTAGTAGAAATGACTGCAACAGCTTGAAAATAGAACTTGCTTACCGCAAAAAACAGCTGTAGGCAATCACAAACACACACACACACGCACACACACACACACAGAGAGAGAGAGAGAACATTGTTAGCTACACTTGATAAGCATGATTCAAGTCGAGTGGGGAAATCCAAAAACAGTAGCAAAGGAACGATGTGCAACGAGCGACTGCACACATAACAAGCTGACAGTTTCCGCCTGATTCCCGAAATGCCACAGCTAAGCCAATTGCAAAGGAAACTGACTGACTGCGCGATACCCTGTGCCCAAAATTAAAAATACATTTATGTTAATTACGTGAGTTCGGAAATTATATAATTTTCAGATTCGTCTCTTAAGTTTATTGGCTGTTATATATTAATATTGATTAAGTTTATATATAAATAAAAACATAGCTGGAGACATGGAACTTTTTTCGTTTTACTGATTTAAGTCGTGGTAAAAAGTACCTATGAATAAGCTTAAGTACAAGAATATGCACCAACAATTTAAGATCTCAAGCTCTTAAGCTGATAAATAAAATTCAAATTATATAGAGTTGACCCAAAGATATATATACAAAAGAAAACCAAAGAAATAGAATATCAGGAGTTCTCCAGCTGCCATAACGTCGATAAAAACCAATACTCCCCATTTTCGCTTGGACAACAGGGTTTAAATACCGACTGATAAGACAGCCGGCAGCGTTATAACTGCAGCTTTACCCAAAGTCTGTTGCCGTTGTTTTGCCAAAGCAAACCCGGAAATTTGGAGTAGGGCTTCAACAATTGGAGCGCGTGGAGTGAGTGAAACAATTGCAGCAAATATGGCAAATGGCAATTGAAAAACAAAAGTCTCCCGGGAGAGCAGAAGAAATCCTTTTCCATGTACTTTCACACTTTATGCGCTTAACAAAGACGCGATGACAAGATGAGGAATAAAAAGCAGAAGGATAGAAAGCAGCAGAGCGGGGGACAACGAACACACACCGCAACGAGGTCAGGAGCATGCATAAGGATAAGAACTTGGACAGGCTTGTTAAATTGGACGGGAGCAGGGGCTAAGAAGCACAAAATTGGCTGTGAAATGAACGACGCATCGAGCGGGCTTCGAGGAGGGGAAGGGCTGAATTTTATCTTTTGTGTGTGCACATTTGAGACAAAGTCAAATGGAAATCTGCATAAAACCCTTCAAGCTGCATTGATATAAGGAGGGAAGGCGAAAGATGAGGGGGGTTTCGGTTGGGGTGGACACACACACACACACACAGACTATACTACACTCGAGTGAGTGAGGCGAGATCTAAGGAAAAGCCATAGAAAAGTTTCCTTTCAATTGCACAAGCACAGCAGCGCAAGCAAAGCAAATATATATATATTTAGATATATGTATAGATATACAGAGGGATTTAACTATGCTTTCAGCTCTTTAAGTTTAATAGGATTTTGCTTAAAAAATAACTCTTAAAAGCAAAACATTTGTAGCGGGAGAGAGAAAGAGAGAGAGAGGGGGGGAGAGGGACAGCTAAAGAAAACAGCTGAACTGGAGTCAGAGTGAGAGCATATAATTGGAATTAATATGCCCACATAAATTCCATTTAGAGTTCAACTAGCTGGCTCAATTAAGGATTTAGCACACCATATATGCATGCAGGCACATAGATACACACATATACACGTACGGGCGACCCTTTAGCTCTGCTTGTGCCACACTTGCTACCACGCTGGCAACTGTGCCATAATTTACACTCTATCGAACGATAACAAACAACCTGCATAATGTATGGCGCTTTATAAACTCCAACAAACTACCTGAACTCTCGCTGCAGTGCGGGGGCGTCGCAAAGGGTAGAGGGTGAGGGGCGGAGCTATTAAAGCACAATGTTGTTATTGAACGATGGGGTCACAAAGTGGCACAAACTGCGCTTGAAAATGTGCGTGTGTGTGTGTGTGTGGTGCCAACTATAAAATACTTGCACAGTCGCCGCAGCATTATCCTTGAACGCCAGCCAAAAGTGCATGAAAAACGCTGTCACCAGCGGGTATATATGTGTCTGTGTGTTTGTTGAAAGGACGAAGTACAAGGGTGGCTCCTAATGTTGTGCGGCTCTCAATCGAACCGCTAGGATGGGCGACAAAGATGCGTAGAAGATCAGGCACCTTGTCTTGACTTAATTCTAAAGTGTAATGTCCAATAAATAAAAATATATCCATTACAAATCTTCAATTATAGCTTGAAACACTTTTTCAAGGTACAGAAGGTGAAGGGCAACCCTCGTAGCAATAATATGGCTTGCGTTGAGCACTAGCCAAAGGGCTGTCCAGGCCAACCTTTACAAACATAGAGATCGGGTTAGATGGTGGGTGGGCCTGTTAGTGCTCCATGTGTTGCAGTTAATGTGCACATTCACGCTTCATTGCTTTTGGCCTTCGCGGAGTAGTAGCAGTATTAGTAGTAGAAGTGGCATTTAATGGTTAATGACTGCCCCTCGCCCGCGCAGCTTGGCTCAAGTTCGGGACGCAGCGTTTGGGTTTTCAATGATGATGGCCAACATTTTAAGCGGGGACATTTGCATTTAAATGTTTATTGTGCCAAAAATGAGACTCGTATATGGCAAACATGTTCTTTGCAACCAAAAGCAAAACAAGCAGACATACATGACGTACACGTAATGCTTATTACGTATACGCGGCGCATGCAGGCGGTCGAGCTGCCTGTTGGAATATGGCATAATAAAATTTTAATTCCCAACGATTGATGGGCTGCACACGCATCAATGGTTGCTCCTAAATCCTAAATGACAACAACAACAGCAACATACAAAAGCCGCCATGGAGGATGAGAAAGAGCGAAACGGAGAGAGAGAGAGAGATTGTGAGAGAAATTTCTGTGGCAGGCAACACATTAAATTTTATATGGCAGCCAGCGCTTATTTGCATATGGATACACACACACACATACACACACGCGCACACACCTACACATACATTCGATGTGTGCCGAGGCTGTAACATTGATT